CTTAGATGATTAAAACATAAAATAATAAAAATAAATAAAAAATGAACAGAATCACAAATATTTATTACCAATGGTAAATAAATAAATAGGGATATTGTTAATATCTCAACATTAAAGTAACTGGGTTGTATTGTAAGACTTTATTGGAAGTGGAAAAGACTTATTGCATTCCTGACAAATTCACATCACAGAAAACAGAATGTAAAAACATGAATCTAAAGAGCCAAAGGGGGGAACAGGTGATAAAGGAAGCTGTAAGTGATGCACAATGACAAACTACACTTAAAATCTCCAAGACTGTGAAAAAATTAAAACGGCAGTCTTTCTCTTTTCTGCGAAGGTGTTCTAGCCTGGAGCTGATCCTAACGCAAGGAGACAGGAGAGAAACCTGCGTGACACCAGCAGTTTCTCAACAATGGCTGTTAAAGGTGAGGTCTGAAAATTAAGTTTGGAAGTAATTTCTTGACCATGTTAATTTTTTTAATCATGCAAAAGAGGAAAGGTTCAGCCCTGCATGATGACCAATTAATAATGATTAGGGTTATTATAGTTAACTAAAACTGAAACAATAACCATATTAAAAAAAAAAAAAAAAATCTATAAAATATAAAAATACAAATACAAATAAAAAAAATTTAAATACTAAAAAATCAGCTAGTTACCAAGGCAACATTTTTTCATTTTCATTTAATTTAACTTGCACAAAAAAATAACTAAAACAGAAATAAAAATAATAATAAAAACTGTATAGACATAATTAATATTTAAAAAAATTAATAATGAATACTAAAAATACAAAAAATGTCAAAAACACACAAAAAATTACTAAAACTATAACTAAAATTAAAATGAATACGGAAAGTATATATAAAAATTTATATATATTGTAACTAAGTAGCCATATTATATATCACAAATGGAGGCAAATGGAAGCTTATATTTGATTTCGTTAGAATAATTTGGATTGTGCACACCCCACCAGAGACATTTATTAAGAAAGTCAATTTTGATCTCATGTTGACTTTGAAAGACCTCAGTATTCAAAGATAATCTAGCATGTAATTTTAGAGGAAAAGTACTTAGTCTAGACACAAAAGTGCTCACCTTGCCATCAAATTTGGAGTACTCGTTGAAGGGGTTGTTGAGCTGTTGAGGACAATGTTCTAGCCGCAGTGAGAGTGTGGATTTACTGCCTGTGCTCCGGGGCCTGTCCTTAAAGTCCTTCTTTTCAAAAAGTGAGCTCAAGTCGTCTGCTACAAAAAAAAAATAAAATCAAGATAGAGGAACAAAATATTCAGAGGACAAGAAATAAAGACCAGAAAATGAAAGCAAACTTCTCTTTTGAGTATGGCTACTGTACCTGATTGAGATGAGCTTCTCTCTTTCCACTGGATGTTTTTGCACTTGATCTGGTTCTGTCGTTCTTTCCTCAGTCGCTCCAATCTTTGAGCTTTAAATGAAAAGACCTTGATCTATTAACAGTGTCAGTGGTGTGACCCCATTACACTTCAAAGTTCACGCATATTATAAGAGTAATTAACAAATACAAGGGCTGAATTCACCTGGTGAAAAAATATGCAGCGGGTTATCATACCTTTTAATCTATAATAAATCTTAGAATAGAAATGCAGGTTATTACTAGACTGATGATTTAAATATTAACGCGCTTGTCATAACAAATCAATGTCAAACTTGGCCCACTATTACACTAGTCTTGGTTTTCTTCATCAATAAGCTGCCAAAGAAGTGCTTGGATGAATCTCACTAACAAATGACCAGGTCATATTTCAGTTCAAAATCAAAAGAAGAAAAAAAAAAACAATACACAGTATATTTTATGCAAAGAAAATTAAGGTGTTTTTTTTTATTGTGACATTATTTAAGACATTTAAACACATTTCCCCCTCAAAAAAAAACTCATTCTCATTACCGCAACATAGAAAAGCTGCTAATCATGTCTCTATTGTTTTTTTTGTTTGTTTTTTTTTTATTAAATCTAGTCCAGCAAAATTTACCTTGATGTATACTTTAACTTTTGTACTTTACAAATCTAATTTAATAATATATCATATTTTTGTATCATATCATATTTTTCCCCATTACAGTAATGAGAATTTTTAAATGTCATGAAAATGTCACAAAGGGGAAAAAAAAAAGAAGAAGAAAAAAAATGAATGGTCTTAAAACACTCAACTTAGTCATTCATGTCACTGGATATACCAGAATGTCTACACAGAAGTACAAGACATTTTCCATTTACTTCATGAGGTCTACAGCTGATCTACATTATATTTTATTTTCCAAACACATAAAAATGCATTCTAAACAATATGCACATATGCATTTTGTTTAGTATGCATTTTTATGCGTTTGGAACATGTTCCATTCAAACTAGTCCAATTTGTACACTTAAAACACTTCAAGGGTTTGGTTAGAGAGCACTTGGCTGCTATTTTGAGAGCAAGTACAAATATGCAGCATGTATGCAAATATAATCCACTTTAATTGCAGGGCAAAAGTTTCTCTTTAAGGATTTTTGCTCTACATCTCTAATACTCAAGTCAAAAGTGTTTTGTTGATTCTGGAACTTCAACCTGAGTGGTCTGGGACGTTCCACATAAAGGTTATTTTTTTTCCCACAGTGGAAAAACAGCACAATTACAGATGCACAAATATATAAGTGACCATAAACCATGCAATACACTCTATCAGAAAATATGTGAAGGCAAACACTTTATGCATTTTTAAATGTGTCACACTGAAATTTATAATGCAACATTAGACATCTGAAGGAAATTATATTGTCGTCTTGAATACTGGGAATTATTGCTTGAACAGTAAAGCAAGAACATACATTAAGTATCTTTTCCACGTCACAATGTGTACGTTAGACTGTAGCCTGCCTGACAGGAGCTTTGAAGATTTACAATATTGAACACTGTTATTATACTAGACATGAAATTAATAGACAGAATTTTGTTTATTTATTTATTTTTATTTATATTATACGAGACAAGACGTCCCATTTTGGTGGCTGCATCAAATATAATTTACTAAAGTGATTTTAAATAGAAAAATCATGTTAAATAAAAGTAAAATATAT